ACACATTTGAAAAATGGCAAAAAGGAGAGAAAATTCAAAAGGTGGGATTGAGATGGGAAGTTAGTGTCCGAGTAGATCGAAGTCACGATAGCTCAAGTGGTAGAGCAGCGGCGTATTTAACCGAAGGTCGTGGGTTCGAATCCCGCTCGTGACGCTGACTTTTTTAAACTAATCAATTGTGCTCTTATTAAGAATCTTGCCTTTTATTTCATATTTTATTTTTAAAAACACGGAAGAACTTTACTTTTAACCCATTTATGTTTAGTGGTCTAATTGACCAAATTATTTATTCACGCCCTTCGGCTAGGTTCGAACCCGCTTGTGGCACTAACTTTTTCATCTCAACCAAGACCTTACATACAAAGAATAATTATTTGCTTTAAACCGTATAAAAGGACTCTTGTTTCACGACAATAATGACAACTGTGATCAAAACTTGTACCCAAAATGATTTGTCGCATAATGAACATAAGACCCCGTTCACCTGTTCCTCACTCGATAGATTTCTTATTCCGACGACGGCCACAGCATACAAAATGCCACGCGTGGGAACTGTCGCCGGTTTGAAAGGGCCGAATGAAAGTTCCGCCTTTCTTAAACTTAGATCTCCGCATCTGTTTAACTTATAACGCGAGCTGTTGACTTAATGTGCGAACATTGTTTACAAACGGTGTTTTCCCCGTGGAGAGGTAGGTGCAGCTAGCAATTTGGCCGAGGCATGAACTGTTCTGCAACTCTTGCGACACCGCGCACTTATGTTTCAACTGTCTCGCCCGAGCCGAGCATTAATTACCAGATAGAACTAACAGTAGTAGGCGTTCCAAGGATGAAGAAACACATTTTCAACAATCGGTTACATTTTCTTTTCAATATGTTTGTCTTGAACGACTTTTCCTCAAAATATTTTATTTTAGTCTCTAATTCTTTGTTGCAATATGTAATTGGATGAACGTAGATATATTTACAGATATTTAAATATTTTTGTGGGAGGCAAATAATCACTGCTATTCTTTCACATCACTTCACCGCCTTTTCTTCAAAAAGGAAGTCGCGGGGTATTTCCTCTTGAAACCCCTTGTAGGATTGTTTGGATGTATTCTGTTGGACAAGGCTTGGGCGAGACAATTAGGGTGATGGGAGAGATTATTGTGGAACTTGGTAAATTTTTGAGTAATTATATTTTGGGTAAATGGGATTTTGAGGTCGTTGTGGAGGGTAGTATTGATGATTTGATAGTATTGTTACGGATTTATAATTGATCTGAATACTTTAGACTGAAAGAATTGGAGACATTGGATATTGCAAGGCTTAGCGGTGCATCCGAAGTTGATGGTAAGCAAGGGCTGGTAGAACCCCTATAATATGTAGGAGAGATGGTAGTCTATTGTGGTTGTCTTACTGTACATATAGTGGCAAAGATATATATATATTTTTTTTTACGTTTCGAAATCACAGAATGATCTGTTGGAAGATAGAAAACCAGAGACCTTTGTTTTTGGTTGATATCTTGTATTCACTTGGCAATTTCTTGCGCAATGTAGACCTATTATATGATCTAATATCCGAGACTGCAATATCCATTATGGGGTTCCCGATAGTGCTGCCTCCTTCCCCTGTATACCAACCCGATTGTTGGACGTGTTGCTGCTGTAACCTTTAACTCAAAGCAGATGGATAACTACGTGGCTCATAGAGGATAACGTGTTTTTGATCTCTAGGATCTAAATCTACTCATTCTCTCACCCTTCCACTCAAGCGGGTGGTGTAGTTCTCGATATTCCATCATTACCCTTTACACCTATTATATGTATAACTAACCTAATTTAAGGGCAATGGGGTACTCACTATTCCGCCATGGAACCTCTGACACTACACATTCCCTCTACTAAATACATTCTCTCTTAACACTACACAGGGAATACAAAAATATCAGTATTACATTTTTATATCATTATATATATTCTAAACCAACCATGTTCCTACAAGAATCGGAACAGGGAGCCAAATACTCACTGCCATGCTTAAGCACAATTCTTACATGCAGTGGCATTACGCGCTCTCTATATGTAGCCATAGTATCTTAAATTAAGTGGGACACAGCGACCTTTCTCTATATGCCATATATAAGATATATACTTTGGCCCAAAAGTGTCCGTGTGTCAACCTCGCATGACCTATCCTTAACCCATTCAACGCGGGACCGAAATGTGAGACGGTACGGAATTTTTTTTTCATGAAACGTATAGGTTGATTGTATTTAGGTTCTAAGGCAATCTGCAAATAAAGTTTTATGGATCAAAAGTGAATTTTTGTACCACGACCACACACTGTAATCAACCGTAATTAGCGAAAATCTGAGTACGCAAACCCGCAACTTACGAACGTACAAAGGTTTGTACCAGGTTGGTGTGTCACGGATTTGGTCAAAACTTTTTTGACGATTCTACATTCCAAAATATCGGACTTGTACCCGTCACTTCTAGTGAGGCCCTGGCTTCAAAAAAAAAAAAAAAATGAAAGTTGAAATTTACCATTTTTTAATATTTTTATTTCATCGTTCTATTTACTCAAATAAACTATGTGAATATATCATTTTACATAGTTTTTTATGTAGATTGCAGTAAAAAAAAAATATTAAAGGCTATCAAAATTTATCAATAATCAAAAATTTTTAAAAACCAAATATTCTCAAGTAAAAGGTCATAATTTTTTCGTGAAACTAATACGAAAGTTCGTTTTAGTACCTCTTGAGACCCCTAAACATAGATTTGTGTTTAAATTTAAATTTTTCGATTTTTGACTCCTAAAATTTTTCCGATTTTTAATAATTCATTCTCGTAATATATGATTGAAAAGGCTGTTTTCAAGAACACCTAAGAGGATTTTAACATCAAACATTGTGTTTGTATGAAGAGCTTTTTAACTACGTATATACCATTAAAATATATAAAACATTTCTATAAGCAAATACAGAATAATAAGAAAATATTTTTGTCACAAATTAACCTCGTTTAATAATAGTCCGATTTTAATGTTTGATACAATTTCTTTATAACGGAATTATTAACTATAAAAAGCAGTCTCCTAGATTTTGAGAAAAATTATGTTAGAGCTTGTACTAGTAATGTCAGTCACACACGATGGTCGTCAAAATCATCTGTTGAAAAATTAATTTACACAGAGTTCCGCAACAGTCGGTATTTAAGGGTTTTATAACAGAATCACGACAATGAAGTCAAATTCAAATTTTAACCATTTTCTGACGTACGTTGCTTAATGGAGGAAAAATATTTCCATGCAGAACCAAAAAGAAAATTGTTTTTTTAGATAAGAATAATTTATTTTTTTGCTCTAATATTTAGTATTTTTACCGGCTAACTACTGTGGTCATTTCCGGCTCCTCGCATATTTGTCCCTCTCACGTTATTTTATAATTGCTTAAATATGTATTCTTCTTTTCTGCATTTTTCATCACTTTTCTGCCATATAACTTTGGTTGCTAGACGATCCATATATTTATTAGTAATTTGTTATTATTATGTTCATTTTCCTATCCTCCACATGCAATATTCCTAGAACACATATTACTTACATACAAACTCATGCTACTATAAAATTTTAATATAACCTATCTTTGGCAGGTCTCGGAGTGCAAATGGCCCAGAGCACCCATCCCTCTAACTGGGAATCAGCTAGGTGAGAGTGACCTCGCCAACTCATCATTCACGCCAATAAATACTTTCATTCTGAGTAGCCTTTCATGCCGTATTTACAATTGAAATTTGCAAGATACAGTGCATTTTTATTGCCCAGTGATTCACCACCTATCAGTTACAGCTGTAATAACATGTTTTTAATTTTTACAAAAAAATTATTTTTAAGTATTAAGTAAATATGTTCGTATATGTTGAATTATCATTTGAGGCCCAATTAATATATCATACAATTAATTAAGGTTTATAGTTGAGATAAAAAAGTCAATGTCACGAGCGGGATTCGAACCCACGACCTTCAGCTTGATATGCCGCTACTCACGATAGCTCAAGTGGTAGAGCAGCGGCGTATCTAGCCGAAGATCGTGGGTTCGAATCCCGCTCGTGCCATTGACTTTTTTATCTCAACTAAAAACCTTAATTAACTGTATTGTTTTTATTATTTGAATGATTTAAAAATTTTGTTTTTGTGAAATTCCAAAAAAACATGTCAATGTAAGCAACCCAGGCATTGCACCTCATGTGGAGTATTTACATTCAAATGGTCCCGGATGTGGTGATTCTGAAAAAAATATTGCACATTGTAGAAAAATAAAACTGTAAATTATAGTTGATGAATTTTGTAAAAAGATATTTACTTGGGTTCCTTCCATTATGTGAAAACAGGGGTAAAATTTAATAATCACGCATATATAATGCTTCTATAATTACATACTTCATCATTGTTGGTTTCCAACAAAACTGGAGGCAAAAATAGGCAAATTTAAAAAAAACTTTCATATAGAAAAGAAACAAGTCAGTAATGTTTTTCTATTTTCTAAAGCATAAAAAATAATATTGGTTTCACGCAAAGACAAACTGACAAACTTTATTTTTAATTTTAGAACATATTATTTAGAACAAAAGTCAAACTTACCAAAAAAGAATGGCGTTCTTGTAGTGCTATCTAGCAGTTATGGGAACGATGCTCCAAAGATAGTCCAGGCTGTTCTGAACCATTCGACCCCAAAGAGTGCATTATATGTCTTTTCTAACTGAAATGTGGAAAAAATTGATATTTCAGAGAAACCCTCACCCTGGATTGGGTGAGGATGACCCTTCTTCTGTGAGCCAGACCGTCTGAGGGCCACCTATCAACAGTGCTCTCATTGATAAACGAGAGCTTCTGAACCGGCCCACCGATGCTGCCGCTTTCTTTTAATCCAAATTTTATTGACTGATAGCATGCAATTATCAACAAGCAAAAAATTATAGCATTTTTAGAAATATTAGAATAGAAAAAACAACTGACTTTTAATTATTTATATTCCCTTTTCAGAATGACGAACGATCTTCGTTTTACATTGTTTTTTAAACAATATTTTATTTTACAATAATGTACAGTTTAATAAATCACCAGACGCCAACAATTTTACCAAAACAACAATTGCAATACATCTTTTAAAAAAACTGTATACACACAATTAATGTAATGCACTTTGTTTAGCTTTTTTCACATGTTTAAAAGCAACAACGGTGTTAATTAAAATTTTGATGGTAACACGAACAACAAAAAATGCTAATAAAATTATAATAAATTTAGCTTGCAGCTTATAATCCCTGGTATTATTTTATACAATTTAATTGTACTTAAAAGCTGATAGAAATAAACAATATATCTGCATTAATAAGTGATAAAAAAAATTCACTCTAATAAATATATATGATATATAAATCAACCCTATTGATAAATTGAATGTATTAACACCTTTTCCATTCACCTTATATACATGAATATAATTTATTTGATTTTCAGAAGTTATTTTAAAAATAACAGCTTATAACATTTAAAAAACATTAGACATTGAGCTAGCTAAAAAACAGCATTGTGTTTTATAATACTATGAATATACTCTTATTTTAATTAAACAAGTTAAAGGATAGTGGATATTTATTTAATAAACATACACCAGCCAAACTAACAAAAGGTTTTGAACCGAATCTAATTTTCACTAATATTTTGACACGTCTACCCAATTTTATCAGTTAAAAACGGCAAGACACAGTTTTACCTTAATTTTCAATAAATTCTTGCTAAACAAACACACTTCACACTAATCCCAAATGCAATTAGTCTAACCATGTTTTCTAAATAGTTTTTTTATATAATGTTAAATAATAATGTTTTATCAGTCACTAATCTTTTCTTTCATTTTAGAATTGTGCTTTTCTGGGTACCAGTTTGATTAATGATACAAAATGGGTCATTTATTAAATATGCATTATTTTAAGCACTATTAGTTCCCTGCAACAAATTAAAAAAAAAATATATGTACAGTCATTTTCTATATAAAAGGGCAGGTTTCACCTCCCTTAAAAATATACATAATCTTATTCTTTTTTTTAACAGAAAAAGAAAACTAAACTATATACAAAATAATTGAATAAAACTAATTAAGATTATTGTCCCAAATCAATTTTTTTGAACAAATTAAAACTTCACACGGTTTGAATTCATTTATCATTCGGTCCACATGTAGGAAGCGCCGTTGTGAGTGTTTAGAAGAAAGAAAACGAGGGGGGGTAAAAGTCTACCACTTGACTCGGTCTTTAAATTCTTGCCGGACGCTGATTCTTTTGATCGTTTCGTATCCGAGGATTATCGAGAAGCTAAAACAGACCGACTGTACCAACCGAGCGCTCAGCCCTTTCGAGAACATCCACAGGCCCTCTTCGCTCCAAAGACCGCGGAACGTGTTCACTATCGAATTCGTTCTTTGTACCTTGAATTTTCAACGGCAATAATTACTCGTTTGACAGATGTTAGTAATAATTTGAGGTTTGCCTTTACCTGTAAGCGTGCTCTTATCGTGTCCATTGGATTTGTAATTAAAGTCGTGGTAAATCCACCTAAAGTACCAGATATGCACTGTATAAACAAATGAGATACATTCGAAGGAAGCAGCTTGCATAATTCATCTATAAAAAAAAAATAATTACATGAAATATAAACATTCTTAAGTATCAGGTAATAAAATAATTCCATAGCACTGTTTTTATGGTAAATTCAATGAAAATGTCAGGTACACATAGACTAAATATGTTGAGTGGCTCTGTGATGTTTGGGGTCATTGAAATTGGGTTATTTTTGATGAAACCTAAAATTTTGTCATCATCAACTGTTGATGGGCAGAGCGCTTTGTGTCTTCCCAATCAAAATCTCCACTTCTGAACCTATTAAGACCTAGAGGACGCTAGAGTCATCACGACATATTTCTTTTAATATCCAGCAAACAACAAAAAAATAAAAATTATAACAATTGTATTTACTTTTTTAAAAAAAATTTAAAAATTGTTTTTGCCTCTCAGTATAGTTAAGCACAGGTCTAGCCCGCTTAAACTGCACATGTTCTTTTATTATATTCTTTACTATTTGTACAAAGCCAGCGGGCCAGATAACGGTGGTTCGGTCTAGAGGGCAATGCTGCTAGTCTGCATGCCATTCATCAGTCCATCCATCCTACATGTCTGGATACCCAAACCATCTACCACCATTTTTCCGAGGCACTCTAAATCAGCATATTTCTCTAACGAAAGCACGATAAGATGGTCCACTGAATATCTACCACGGATAGCCAAAAACAGCATTCAGCAGGTCTGTACAGACAAGAGAGGCAGAGCCTTCTTTGTCTCGAATCATCGCAAGCCACATTACAGCTCCGCCGTGGTTGAGTGAGCCATGGTGTTGTACCCGCTGCAGTGCCATTAATTTCATATATAAGTTATTTGAAATAAATTACATGTTTTAGTGTTTCATTAAACACTTTCATTTTAGTTCTTCACTTGAATATCTGTTATATTTATAAAATTCGTTAAATTCACTAGTTTCGTAGTCTGCTTGACCAATTAATATCTTACAATTAAGGTTTTTAGTTGAGATAAAAAAGTCAATGGCTTGAGCGGGATTCAAACCCACGATCTTCGGCTAGATACGCCGCTGCTCTACCACTTGAGCTATCGTGACCTCGATCCACTCGGACACTAACTTCCCATCTCAACCACACCTTTTGAATTTTCCCTCCTTTTTGCCATTTTTCAAATGTCGTGTAATCGGATTGGATTCTCAGCAACAAATGAAATGGCCACGGAGAGCTTTAGTGAAGTATACTTCATTCTCAATCATTAAATTCACTAATTTCGTGGTCCGCTTGACCAATTAATATATTGCAATTAATTAAGGTTTTTAGTTGAGATAAAAAATAATATATTAATGTAAAATGTCCAAGAATCCAATCCGATTATATGACATTTGAAAACTGGCAAAAAGGAGGGAAAATTCAAAAGGTGGGGTTGAGATGGGAGGTTAGTGTCCGAGTGGATCAAGGTCACGATAGCTCAAGTGGTAGAGCAGCGGCATATCTAGCCGAAGTTCGTGGGTTCGAATCTCGCTCGTGCCACTGACTTTTTTATTTCAACTAAAAACCTACATTAATTGTAATATATTAATTGGTCAAGCGAACCACGAAATTAGTGAATTTAATGTATGTATTTATAAAGTTGTATGTAAGCATTTGATATTTTATAATAAAAAATAAAAAATTCCTAATTTTTTATCAATTCTTTGTTTATGGGAGACTGTGGTAGCTGGTGACACATATTTACAACGCTAGCGGTTCTAACCTAGAACATCCCATACAATTATATTTAAGATTAACTTGTAAAAAGTACTGTAAAGTGGTTCTGACCTAAGTTGTATTTTGAGCCTCATGTACGACAGGAATTAATTTGTTATAAGGATCGGCAAAAAGAGAAGTTTTCTAATGAAACTCACCTTGATATATCTGATAAAATGTCCACCAAAGGGCACTATTGGGAACATATGTGCAGAGTGATGCGAAATATCCTCTATAGAAACCTCTGATGCCGTCCGTCCTGTAAATAATCTGAGCTATGTCCAAGGTGATTCGGAACTTTGACCTAGATGGGTCGATTGTCAGTCCTAGTGGATTTAATACCATCTGAAAGACAAAAAAATGTCGTGACGGATCTATTTTTGTTTGGTTCAGCATTGCACCATTTATAATGGTTGACTTGCATGTTATTTTGTAAACCTCATTCTATTAAATATAACACACACATAAACTTACAAGTTTGACAAATAACGCACAGACTGAAAATGCAGGCCGGAATAATCAAACTACAATAATTTTGGAACTTTTACCTCATTACCATAGTACTTTTTTTTTAAACGAATATTTTTATAATTTTTACAAAACTTATTTACACTCACCTTGCCACCATCTCGATAATTAGTGAGTCCTAGGAACATGAGGTGTTGGGAAATTACATCGAAGGGTACGATTATAGTCTGGCCTACTAGCGACGCTGCACCTCCGCTCAGTAGGGCTTTGACAGTTGTCGTCGCGTTGTACTGCTTCAGCAAATGCCGTGTGCTTTCGTAGGTGGCGATGTAGCCCACACCTGATACAATCTGCACCGAGCTGACCCAAAAGCCGCGGTACAGGCCGCCAATACCTTCAGTTTTGTAGATCTTGCTCCCCGCATCAAAGAGGCCTGCAATAAAATATTTCTTTAAGATACAAATAAAACTAATAATAATAATAAAAAATAAACAAAGAAGGGCATAGATTACTGGTACGGTTAAAGCATACAGCGAGTTATCACTGTAGGGCTTCTCTCACGTTGGAATTGACTACGAATGATTTTTGAGCATTCGTATGTGCCCAACTTTCCACAAACATTCCCTATCTAAGGAAGTAACTTGAACCAACTTAACCGTGCGTAATGTCTGTTTTGTTTTGACCTGCGGCTAGATCCCAGCAAGCTGAGATTTTTGCATTTGATGGACGACCTATGGCCTCACTTCTAAGAAAATTTTTTTCATTGAATAGAAGCTTACATAATCGTTTTACAAAACTTATAAAATTCAGTATAAATTATTTATTTATTTTTGAAAAAGTGAAAAAAGTTATACATTCTGTACGATATGTTTTAATATTTTCACATATGCATTGCACAATGGATCTCCTATAAGTGTACTCTTTATTTCTTTTAAAAAATAATTATATTTTGACTAATTAAGGTTTTTAGTTGAGATAAAAAAGTCAATGGCACGAGCGGGATTCGAACCCACGATCTTCGGCTTGATACGCCACTGCTCTACCACTTGAGCTATCGATCCACTCAGACACCAACTTCCCATCTCAACCGCACCTTTTTGAATTTTCCCTCCTTTTTGCCATTTTTCAAATGTCGTGTAAAGTCAAAAGATGCGGTTGAGATAACTAAAAACCTTAATTAATTGTAATAAAACTTATTTTCTGTTTTTTTTTCTTCTTCTTTTAGGATCATTGGATTGTCCATTTAGGACTTAATGAAGTGTGAAGCCCAAAATGTATTAATTTTGAGAACTTAACTAACTGAAGGCATACATTTCATTCTTAATTCAACTATTCAATAATTATATTTTACAAAAGAATGAAATAATCTAAAATTTAATCAAAGTAATGTTTGGCAAAGAAATAAACTTAAGGTGTGCAATTTCTTTCAAACTTACACAGTGAATAATTAAAAAAATAATAAAGTCAACTAAACTTAAAGTAATATTTTTAAAACAAAAATTTTATCTACCCTATTTAAGGCCCGAGACCAAAAGATAACCCACCTTTTGTCTATACTTTTGTCTTTACCTTTCTGAATGTGTAATAATGTGAGAACGAAAAATTGTATAATAACAACTTTAGAAATATCAAGAAACACAGGACTAGTAGGAAAGTCATTTCTACTTTTTAAATAATCCAGGTCTCAGAAACGAGAAATTACCAAGTGGGCAATCTATTTTAACAACGGAGGAAAGTTTTTACAGGGAAAACGACCAATTTTGAGGATTGCTTCAAATTCTTGTTTGACAGCCTTGCAAATCGTTTGTAGCAAAAGAGCTGGAGTGTCAACCGACATAAAAAACATAAAGGTACCACACACATCCAGCGGAGGAAAATGAAACAGATTCAACCACTAAATAAAATTCATAAGGAACATCATAAACAGTTTGCTCACCCGTCACCTTACGATACAATTTTAAAAAATTAACCTCAATGCCCTGATGGTTGGGCATATTATTTCCATGACCAAATGAAAGAAGAAATGGTATTTTCAAATAGGCAAGTAGGTGGAAGAAGTTACAATAAAACAGAAGTTGTATGTTGATTCTAGTCCAAGTAACAGTATGCAATATCTACAATTAATAGAAAATAAATTAACAAGGTACTCAGAGACAATAACAAATGCATAATTTATATTCCAGCAGGTCTATCCTGTCCATACAGTGAAAATGGTAAAAGCCTTTCTTCAAAAAGAAAACCTCAATTTTTGGAATGTCCAGCTAGGTCTTCAAGTTTTAGTAAATCAAAAATTACTTGAGACATCTTGTAAGGGTTGCGGCCAGTTCCGGAAGACAGAGATTAAACACACAATCAAAAAAAAAAGAGAGAGAATTATTTTAAGATGTTCGTCACCTCTACTAACTTCCAAATAGAAGCTAACTGGGCTGGAGAAAGGTGGAGCCTAAAATAGGAATTAGAATTATTTTGACTATTTTTTTTTGTTATTTGTTTTAATTAATAAAAAGTTCTAAAAATATGGTATCTTTTTGACACACCTCAAAATTAATATTTACTGTTATTTCCAAGGAGTAATACTTTATTGGAGGATAATTAACAAAATATAGTTAAAATGAACAAAATATTTATTTATTATTAACTTAATTTATATATTAACCTTAACAACACATTCACTAATTTCGTGGTCCGCTTGACCAATTAATATATTATAATTAATTAAGGTTTTTTAGTTGATGTAAAAAAGTGAATGGCACGAGCGGGATTCGAACCCACGATCTTCGGCTTGATACGGGATGGTTAGGGGTTTAAAAAAAAAAAAATTCAAAAGGTGCGGTTGAGATGGGAAGTTGGTGCCCGAGTGGATCGAGGTCACGATAGCTCAAGTGGTAGAGCAGCGGCGTANCGGGATGGTTAGGGGTTTTTAAAAAAAAAAATTCGAAAGGTGCGGTTGAGATGGGAAGTTGGTGTCCGAGTGGATCGAGGTTACGATAGCTCAAGTGGTAGAGCAGCGGCGTATCAAGCCGAAGATCGTGGGTCCGAATCCCACTCGTGCCATTGACTTTTTTATCTCAACTAAAAAACCTTAATTAATTATAATATCTTAACAACATAATTTAACATAAACCCAAAAGATTGGGATGGGCTACCTTTTTATCCAGTACTATAGATGTAATAATTGCACAGAACATAAATAATTGATACAGCTAAATATGAATCAAACCGTAGGAAGAGACAACAAACAAGCAATACAGAATTAAACAACTTGTTTTAAAAATAAAAAGAGTCATTCGACAGGCCGATAGAGTCAAATAAACAAATTCAAAGCCAATTTTTTTGTTCATTTTTAGAAGTTATTTTTAAACAATGTCAAATTCACACTTTATTTCTATCAGAAAATCTAAGTAAAATTTTTAAACAGGAAAATTCATTAGACACGATCATTTTCTATATTAAAAAGCTAGAAATTTGTTTTGATATATTTTATCCTGGCTAAATTACAACAACTCTAATGGAAAATTTTTGCTCTATCCCCTAATGATTGTATAATAATGTTACATTTATAAATAAGATAAGAGGAGGAAGAATGTAAAAAAAAGGCCACTCGCAAATTGTAATAGGCAAATATAGCTCAACTTTTTCAATGAAAAGATCTGGAACATATACATAAAAAGCTTTTGTGAAATTAAAAAATCTGGTAGGATCAATATTGCCAATTATATAAACTTAAAAAATAATAATTTGGGGTTTATAAATGAGGTAATTTCCATTGTTTATTACATAATTATTTTATTTTTATTATGAAAAGTATTTCAAAGGTTAAGGTCAGTCACTTTTCCCTTAGACAGTCTTTAGAATCACTTTCTTCCACTCGAATTATAATCTGGTTACTAACATTTTTTTCTGATAATATTTCTGAAGCATAGACTTTTTTGAAGTTCTAATTTATATACGTTCTAATATACAAAACTCAATGAATTAAAAAAAATAAATAAATAAAAACTGTGGCAAATGCTATAACTACACACCATTCGAATTTGTCATATAACTTTTTTTTTTTTTTGAGGGGGAAACAAAGAAAAAGAGGAGACAGATTATAAAATAAAAAGAATAAGTTTGTGCAAAATTAAACAAAAAACCTTGTTTAGTGAATTCATTTCTGTTTTATTGATGATTGAACAAAAGAAGAGAAAGAATAACAAAAATAATTCCAACAATTCAGAGCAGGAAACCGTAGCCCCAAGTTTGACCTAGCAAAAACCTCTAGGTCTCGCATGATCGATTTTCCAACATAATGTCCACACAATAGACTTCTGTACACAAGAAATACTACAAAAAAGACTAAAAGTTGATATGCATATTTTCAAAACGCCAAGCGCCCTGGAGGTTTTTTTAATCGCCATATGAGCTTGCATATTAACCTGACACGATTTATTTGATTATTTGATCATATATATAGTTGGGCCATACATAGTTGGGGGTTGAGTGGGGAAAAAAAACAAAAAAAAACGGAAAAACGGAAATTGAACCCCCCACGACCTCAGGGTCTATGAGCCTATCTCGTTGACCACTCGGCTACTGTGGTCCCCATTGAAGATTTAGACTCCTCCACCTCCAACTTAAAGCTGGTCCAGATTAACATGTCTCAAATTCTGGTATAATGAAATCAGGTGAGTCTGATATAAGTACCAGGACACAAAAGGATTACAGGCAACAGGCTGACAAACTAGCAAAAATAAGAGTAAATTGGAACAAACAAAGCAGGCTAAGAGTGAAAGTGAAAAAATGGATGAAGAGAGAAATGACTTACACTGGATGACTTCACCAAGTGTAAAACAATTAAAGAAATTTCTCAACAACTCAACCAGGAAAACTACCTTTTTTCTCAATAGGCAAGAATTTAGAAAAAATAATAGCCATTCCACCACCACCTTAAAAATTGGGAAAATTGAGACAAAAATGAACTGACTCTGTCATGAAAGCATTAGCTGGAAAAGTACCATCAAAAAGAAGACAACGCACAATTACTAAAGAGTAACCCAAGAAAGTGCTCAATTAATTTTTAAACCTAATTCCTTCACTATCCATGGTATGGAAATAAAGAAAGCACAATTTCACAACAGACTTTTAGGTTGCAGTGGAAGAAAGGGAGACTAACGTCACCAATGACCCTGGAAAAATCCAACAATAGAACAAAACAATCAAGAATAAGCAAAAGAACTTGGTTTCTTAATTTCTAATTTATATAAAAATTAAATAAAAATGCCAATGACTTGGATTAACAAGGCTATCTGAGGATATAATAAATAAACAATTAAGTTAAGCTTTCTAAGTTTTCCAATAATATAAAAATTTAAAAAGAGATGAATTAACTATAAAAAATAAATAAATGAAAAAATTTAACAAAGGAATCTGAGAAAATTAAGACCAAAACAATAAATCAGTATAGCATCATGAGAAAAATAAATGAAAAGTGTGTTTTTACTTTCTAACTATCCTAATTTCTTAAAAATAGGCTAAACCAATAATAGTAATAAACTACTACTTTAAAAACAAATATTATATGATAATATATTAAAAAAAAATATATTATTGTGATTAAAAAAATATAAATAAATAAATAAATAAAATATGTACTCCTAGAGCCAAATGAACAAATAAATCTGGGGTACTTTGTAATTTGTATAATAATCCTATGAAAGAAAATGAGCACGTATAACATACAAGTCACCCATATTAAAAAAATGTGTACGGTTAAGTAATATGTAAAATGTATACGTATGTAAATGTATATTAAAAAATAGTTTATGCCCATGAAATATCAAAACAGTGAGGATATCAAATAATAATGTTTATAAATTTTAGTGTAGCTCCAACAATTCTGGTTATGCTTGTGATTCCTATGCCACTATTTTAGAAGCAAGGATTACACGAATTAGAGACGAACAGGCCAAGCAGACATCACTACAGCACAATTCTCAACATAAATTTTTCCGTTTTCAATGTTATTTCTATTTAATATGGGCTCAAATAAATAAACTTAAAATGTTTTTGATTTATAATTTGTAAAATAAATCTATAAGCAACCAAATAGACAAACCTATAAAGGAAAAAAAACTGATAGACACCCTGATGATGACCTTAAAATAGGTCAAAAGCTTGGCAGATAACAATGGAATTTTTTTCCAGATCCAGATTATTTGTGAATGTATTTATTAGCATAGATGTGAAATGTGAGAGGGCTGATATTGGAATATTGAGTAGCCCATCGAACCTCAATTACATTGGTGTATAACTGAATGTTTTAAAGGGTGATGGAGTTTCAAGTACTCCACCACACTACTTGAGTGGATGGTAGAGTGAGATTGATTAGGATTATTTTTTTAGGTTTATTTATTTATTTTTTGTGATGCATTGAAGGATGAAATGACCTCGGGTTTGATAGCCCCTGAAGCCAAACTTTGGCAGGTCTGTTAAGACCAAGGGTGGTTACTTGGCGTGTGTTGCCAGCAAGCTGTGGAAAATCATATTTTCAATTCTGCATGCATGTGTATATATGTACAAGTTTATACAGAGTCGGGTTTACATAAATCAGTAATCAGGAACCGTAGTGGCCCAAGTGGTTTTGGGTGTTCAACTCTATTTGCTACAATAGCTGGGTTTGATTGTCAACAGAGCTTGTCTTTTTAATTGAGAATAGTATGAAAGAAGTATAGCAAACTGGTTTGGCACTTACGAGTAGTTAGACTTCAAGCCTTTCTGTATGACAAGGATTACTTTACTTATTTGTTTAAATCAGTATAATCATAGTAGTACATATATTTGTTGAGCTGACCGGAAAATAATGCAGGTTTATGTTATAAAATACAAACAATTAAATGATTTTAAACCTTTTTTTTTTTATTAATTATTTGGTGATTGTGAGGTGCAGTCTGGTGAGACGTAGGTTTTAGAAAAACATTTTCTTTATCATGCCAATGTTTCGATCTTTATTGAGATCATCTTCAGGGGTCAAAGTGTTTGTTTTCTGAGTAGATGTGTCATTATTGTCTGTTATGTTGAGAGTACACAACTTTGAGCCCTGAAGATGATCTCAATAAAGATCGAAACGTTGGCGCGATAAAGAAAATGTTTTTCTAAAACCTACGTCACACTAGACCGCATCCCACGACCTCCAAATAATCATCTGAATAGATTTTGAGTCTTTATTATTAAATTCTGTAAATGCATTTTCTACTGACTTTTGATCAATAAACTTTTTATTTTGTAAACTGTCCAGGAATCTGAAAAATGGTAAAGAAGAATAGAGATGGTGAGGCAGAACCTCATAACCAACATCCAACAGAATTCATGTTGTCAGATGTGAGACATGGGGACGAGCGTTGTCATGTAACAGAATTGACCTTTTCCAATTGACCAAAGATTGATTCAATATTGCCAATTTCTGGTGCATTGCTTCAATTCGAGGGCAATACATTTCTGCACTGATAGAACATGAAGTAAATCAGCCCAAATGAAGCCGATCAAAGAGTCACCATCATGTTTTTTTGGTGAGTTGGGGGCTTTTGAAAATGTGATGCCGCTTCTCCTTTGTCGAGCCATACATCCACTTTTCATCACAAGAGCAATCCTATCCAGAAAAGGTTTCATTTGTTTCGGCAAAGAAATGTTGCGCAAACTTCATAACGATGATTTTTTTGGATATAGTTTAATGCATGAGAAACCTAACTTTTGAACATTTTCACCTTTCCAATTAACTTAAGGTGGTCAACTATGGTAGATTTGCTAACAGAAAGATTCTATGCAAGATCTCGAACAGTTGTTCTGGGATTTTCTTCGGCCAAAGCTTGCAGAACATCATCAAATCCTTCCACAATTTTCTTTGCCTTCAAGGCTAGTCTCCCTCTCGAAATCTTTTAAACCATATCTGAACATTGCTCTCATTAACAGTGCCATTGCCCCAGACTTCATTAATGTGTCTGGCCTTTTGGGCACTGTTCCAACCAAGTTTAAACATGTAAATCGTGAAAATCACATATTGACATCTTTGTAAAGACAGAATTATTCCCAAGTAACGAAATGCTACTGAGGTAAACATTTTTTAATGTAACTTTTGATGACCATTGAATTATAATTGCGATGTTTGTATCAGTGGTGTTGGAATTATCAGTCGATGGTTGTTGGAAAGAAAACAACTTTGAATTTTTGCCGATGTTTCGATTTAATTTAAATCTTTATCAAGGCATCTGCTTGATCTCTAAGTGTTCTATTTTTTAATTATATTTTATTTATTTATCAATTGGCATATGTCTCATGTTATGGTTCTATTACATTGGTTGCTATCACGAGGGGAACTGCATTGCAGTAAATAAATAAAACATAATTAAAAAATAGAACACTTAGAGATCAAGCGGATGCCTTGATAAAGATTTAAATTAAATCGAAACGTCGGCAAAGATTCGAAATCATTTTCTTTCCAACAACCATCGACCGATAATCCCATCACCACCGATACAAACATCGCGATTGTAAACATTTTTGTTTGGAAGAGGATTAAGAAGTGTTGAGATTCGTACAAAGTATAATCCATGAAATGTAAACAGTTTATTATAAAGAGCTGTAATTAAAAGTAAACCTAAAAACCTGCATTAATTTCCGTTAATTTCCAGACAGCCCAATAAAACAATGTAGACTGTTATATTGAAAAATTTCAATAGAATTTCTGATGAAAATATTTTTTCCTCCTAGTTCATTTATGAAGTAACTCTACAAGAAAAATACTACTAGTTTTGTATAAAATATATTTTACTAAGAGTGAAAAGGCATTTGGTTGAAATAACGAAATGTGTTAATTGTAAATCTAGAGCAGCGGTTCCCAAACTTTTTTGACCCATGGACCCCTTTTTATAGTCAAAAATTGCCCGTGGACCCCCAAGTGAAAAAGCCACATAAATGCATAATATAAAAATTACAAATTTAAAAAAAAAGTTTTGTTGAAGTATTTTTGAAATTATAAATGTATATAAATTATAATATTAATTACTTTTGTTTAAAATAAAATATAGACAAATTAATGACTTGGATGAACGTGATGAGATGTTATGAGTGTATAATTTCTAATCGGTTTCTTTCTTTTGTGATGAGCTTCATAACGGCACTGAATCCACATTCTACCAAATAGAAAGACGGGATAGCAGTCAACAACTTCTGTACAATAACCCATAATGCAGGATATAAAATTGAGATCTGTTTTTGTAACCAGAATTTGTGGTATCCTTGTGAAGGCAGTTGGAACCATAAGGGAAACAACACAGGTCACTTGAAAATTCTACAATTATTGAGTAAAGTCAACAGCCAACTACTAAACATTAGCGATAAAAAGGTTAAAACCCCTTCGGGGAAAAAGTACTTTCAGGTAGTTACTCCATGTGAATANATATTATTATTTATATTATATTATTTTATATTAAACCTTGCGCGGACCCCCTGACGTTGTTCAGATACCCCCAAATCAATTTTAATTTTCTTCGGACCCCCTGAATGATACCGGGGACCCCTGGGGGTTTGTAGGGACCACTTTGGGAACCACTGATCTAGAGTAATTAGCAAGTAAAATATTTCTATTTTACTAATTTTATTTTATTGTTTTAATATCTTGTCTGTAGTAACTTGTGAATATTATCTTGTGTTTAGTTTTTTCTTTTCTGTAATTTGGTTTAAAAAAAAATGTTCAATGCAGGGATTCAATATATTTCAAGCCTCTAATCTGTTATTCTCCAGGGAACGATATTGGAATGTTTTGCTTTTATTTTCCCAATTCGTTATTTTCCAACTAAAATTTTAAATAATGCGTATATTTTTAACGGTGATAATTGACCTACTTAATTATTTCAATTAATTATACTGCTTATCTAGCCTTGGTTGAGATGAAAAAGTGTCACGATCGGGATTCGAACCCACGACCTTCGGCTAGTCCTCTCAACCAAGACTTTAGATAAGAAGTGTAACTAATTGAAATAATTTTAAATAATATAGAATATTGTGCAGATTTCTTTCTTTAATTAAAATAACTTTTCAGGAATTGGCCTCGTTGAAAGGGGTGTTGGAAACAAGTCGAATTGGAAAGGAGAACAACGCAAAAGAATGGATCGTTCGGGTTGGAAAGATCGGGCCGTGTGGCGGGAAAGCAAGTATGGTGCGGATTTAAGGATCAAACATGAGATATACATACCACTGTACATGCTGTCATGCTTCTGTATCTGGAGTCGTGTTTTGATCAGGGTCAACGGGTAAAGACTGCACCTGACCGAAAACGAACTGAGCATACTAAGAGGGAAAAATTTCGTCTTGTCCATCATTTCCCATTCTATTGTCCTCAGATACTCGGTATCCTCTCCCGTAATGACTTCCATCGTAGAAATACCGCCTCGCTGACGATTCCGTGATTCGGCAAAGCGATCCTGCAGATTTCATTTCAGTTTTTTCTTTATGATATGAATTTTTTTCTCTCTCTCTCTCGACGCCTCCTCGGTCTGGGTCGGTTCGGAAACGATTTCTGCCCCGGAGCCTCCTCTTAGGTCAGTTCGATGCCCCTGGTTTTCTTCCTGTTCTTGTTGAAACCGCAGTACTTTCCACTGGAAAAGCCCATATCGACTGGTATCAGCTGATCGCACATGACATATGGACGGCGAGGAGGGGACTCGGATAGTCGTTGCTCTAATCTCACTTTCCCTTGGCCCAACACGAAATTTCCCTTATACGGTCCACTTTTCGTAAAAGCTTCTATTTTTAATGAAAAGAAAGCCTTTTCATCACATCAAATGACACATTACCGTCTTTCGGTGTGTTAAGAAGAAGGACCCTAGGCAAATCTTGGGGATTAAAACCAAAATGGCCCTTGGCTGTATACGGCAGTAATAAGACCCAAAATAGCCTAAGATCATTAATATGGTAGACCAAAGCTCGATAAAAAGTATCTACCCAAAGTCCCAAGCACTAGGCTTCATAAAAAGATTAGCAAACTTATGTATCACAGGGGCAATGAGAACAACCCCTACAGATGCACTAGAGCTCTGTTAGTCTGTTACACCTACCTTAACTGAAAATATTCATATAAGGAGACGCTAGGAAATTTAGGCTCCAAAAAACAATCAAATTGGAGGGAACTAAACAATCCGGACACACAGCTATAATTAACAAAGTCAGACACCCATTTTTAGAAATGGGGACTAACTACATGATCCCGGAAACATTCTTTACACGTCCTATAAAGTCCTAACAGACTATAAAGGAGAGGAAGAACTCAGGAGAGCATCACCTACAATGATACGGTAGATGGCTCTAAAACAAACGAAAAAACCAGACCGACTGGTTTTTTTTTTTACCCCCAAATTTTGGGCATTCAACTTTTTGGGGAGTTCCTTTTGGTTCAGGCAAAATTCCTTGCCTTCATTGTTTTTGCCTTGGAAATTTTTAAATTGGTTTCCTTTGGAAAAAAAATCCTCATAAGATCTGATAGCCAAGCAGCTATTAAAGCATCAGCATATAAAAGAATCACAACAAAATTATACAGTGAATGCACCCAAAATCTCCAAAACTTGCGGAAACACAACAACCTCATGATATCCTGGTTTCATTTCACCCAAAAGAATTTTGGGTAATAAAAAAGCAGATACATTGGTAAGAGGAAAATCTGCAAGACCGTACATAGGCCCCGAACCAACACTTGGCATAACAAAAACAAATATAGAATCCTCCATCACAGAATGGATCCAAATAAAACAAAAGGTGAAGTGGATGAACTCTAGAGATGTTAGACACAGTAAACTAACGCTACAATAACCCTCACCAAGACTGGCAAACTCACTGCTGCAACTGGAGATGGCTAGACTCACGTAGAACTTATTAACCAGTCACTGGCAACTCAGAAAACATCTACACAACATGGGCACAGATTATGCAATGAGGAGGAGGAAACAGCCAGCTATATCATCTTCGAATGCGAAGCAACAGCTCAGTGGAGACATAACCTAGTATATACAAAAAAAACCTAGGGATTAAAATTGTAGCAACAACATTCAATGACTTAATACTTCTGAGAAGGATTGAGTCGATTGCACTGAACTAGGAAACTGGAAAGGTGCAATAAACCAGAAGGCTGTAGTGCCTGGGGAGCAAAAACCTCGCTTCCTAGTATCCTCATCATCATCCAGTGTGTTAGCTTATTGGTATCTGACATCTTCCCATAGTAGATATTGATTAGAACATACTTATTCATACTGAACAATAAAAGTTATACCTATATTCCAGAACTTCTTCATACACTTTAAGACACAAGAAAAACCTTTGTGGAATCTTTCTGTCTCAAACTTGCTAAGAAATAGAACTTAAGCTACCCACTATGCAATCATGCAAGGTCCTAGTCTAAATATTTTCTTTAGTATGGTTCCCTCTCTTCTCAAAATTTTTTGAGAAGGTCCTCCTAAAATTATAGATCCCTTCTATCTTCTCCCAGACCACCAATTTGGTTTTTGCTCTCAACATTCCACAATCCAGCAGGTGCTTCGCATTGTAGACCACACATCCTCATCCTTAGATACTGTATGGACCTTCGTAGATGTGTCACAAGTGTTTAATTGTATGTGTCATGAGGGTCTTCTGTACAAACTCAAGTGAGTCCTTCCAAACACCTTATACTTAATCCTTCACTCCTACCTCATAGGATAATTCTTCCGAGTTTGCCTAGGGGCTAATCCACCTACTGTCCTGTTGGAGAGGGAGTGCAATAGGGCAGTGTGTTTGTACCACTACATCTGACATTCCATCTAACCCTCTACCCCCCTTGCTTTCCCTGTAACCTGTAAACCTGAACATGCAATCACCTCGGAGGAGCTCCAGGCACATCTACAATGAATAGCCAAATGGAGCAAACTTTGGAAGATAAAAATTAATGAAAACAAACACACCCATGTTACATTTACCCTCAGAAGCATAATCCCTTACACAATATTCTTTAACAACATTCATATCCCCAAAACCGACTGTTACGCTACCTTGACACATGCTTACCCTGCAACCGACACATACAAATTCTTCTTGTGAACGTGTGAAGAACTATATGAACTACTTGGATGGAAATCTGACATGGCGACAAAAAACAACAGGCTTCTCCATTCCAGAATCGGTTCACAATTAACTGATGCAATGAGGAGGAGGATACAAAGGAGCAATAATCCACAAGAACTGAAACCTTTTGGCTTATTGTACTTTTTCTAGTTCCTTAGTTCAATTCAATTGACTCTTAAGAAGCAGTTTTCCCTGGATTCCTTTGTAGGTTGTCTCCATTAAGCAGTTATTTCACATTTAAAAATAATACAATTAATTAAGGTTTTTAGTTGAGATAAAAAAGTCAATGGCACGAGCGGGATTCGAACCCACGATCTTTGCTTGACCAATTAATATACTAAGCGGACCACAAAATTAGTGAATTTAATGATTAAAAATGAAGTATACTTCACTAAAGCTCTCCGTGGCCATTTCATTTGTCGTNAGTGCGCTCATCATTGATTATACATAGGTTGAGTCAGTTTTCTCATACAGCTAAACAGCCCTATCAATCCCATGAGTTTTGCCATTTGTTTTACAATAAATGGAAGGGATTCAACTCCAGTTCAAACATCATCTATGTCTTTCTGGTTCATAGTAAAAAATATAAGTTTTATTCGTTTTATTAAATATGATACAATATATAAATACTTTGTATGAAAATCACATTTTATTATCACCAAGTAAGCCATGGAGGCTGTTTCCACTGATTTAAAGGCACGTAAGTAACATTGACTGGTATATTTATCACTGCAAATTTCATGTTGAGCTTTTGTAGAGTTCTTCTAATAATGAAACTAAAAAAAAGAAAATATATATTATTATTATGCTATACATGGTAGTACATAATTGTATTTTACCCGTTCTTTCCTAACAAAAATGTAGCCGGGATCTTAACATGCAGGCCGCTATCATCGTCGATCATTTCAGTGTAAAATTCTTCACTGTCGACATTATCCGCTATGATTACAGCCTTTGCACCTGCTTTTTCGGCATATGAAGTCTTGCTCAAAAACGAGCAACTGCTGCAATTTGTAAAGTGAGCGTGTGAAATCGAATATGTGTTGATGCTGGTTGTTGGTCTGCAAGAGGTAACTTAGGTCCATCTTCACTTGCGGGTACGCTGAACTCAAACACGTTTCGGCATTGTGCCATCTTCAGTGAGAACACAGAAACATGTTTGAATAGTGCAACAAACCGTTGAGTGAAGATGGACTCAATAATTGACCCAGTTTAGGTTCAGCATGAATCAAATACACAAATTGCTTAAAAATGAAAAGGGATATTGCCAATTTTGTAGCGTTTACTTTTCCTCCATTTTTAATTTATTTTTTATTGTAAATTGCATTAAAATTTATTAGAAATTATTGTTTTTACTGAAAGAAAATGTAATAAAGAGATTTTGAAAAATAACAAAATAAAAGGTTGGACACAATAATTTTTTTTTAAATAAGACCTTGTATAATATCCGCTGTTAGCTAAAACCTCAAGGCACTGTTTGTTATACTGTTAATAAGTTTGTCACTAATTTCATAAGAAATTTCACTCCATAAATGTTACAACACTGCACTCAGTTGTTCCAGGTCAACTGGCTGCAGATTGTGATCGAAAAGCTTTCTCTGCAAAGCATTCCGCGTGTGCTCAATGGGATTGAGGTCTGGGGACTAAATTTCCAGGTTTTCTGAACATTGATGAACAACTCTGCCTCTATGAAGTCTGGCATTGTCATCCAGAAATTGAAAATCCCTGCCAATGAGATCCCTCGTTTGAAGGATGTTAGATAACTTCTTGGACATAATGGTCAGGGGTGAGGTTGCCTTCAACTCGTTTGTCCTCCAGTAATAATATAATAATAATTTCACTAATTTCATGGTCCGCTTGACCAATTAATTCATTACAATTAATTAAGGTTTTTAGTTGAAAAATGGCAAAAAGGAGGGAAAACTCATAAGGTGGTGTTGAGATAGGAAGTTGATGTCCAAGTGGATCGAGGTCACGATAGCTCAAGTGGTAGAGCAGCGGCGTAACTAGCCGAAGATCGTGGGTTCGAATCCCGCTCGTGCCATTAACTAATTTTTTTTCATCTCAACTAAAAACCTTAATTAATAATAATAATACTTTATTGCAAAAAAGAAAAGTTATAAACATTACATAATATATAATTTAAAGTAAAATTACGTCATGGAGGGTCCGTCTGCCGGAGGTCGATTTTCATTTGACTTAAATTTTTGGTCGACACAGAGAAAAAAGTACAAAAGAAAAAAAGAAAAAACAATTAATCCTTAAATAAATATTACAATTGATAATTTAATTTTTAATAATTACATTAATTACTAACATACATTATAAACAATAATTTTTGTTCTTTGTTTATTTTACAACAAGTATAGATATATAAATTATTTGGGCCAGCAATTTAGAATGACAAGGCTTTAAAATCTTCAAAAATTAAATTGTAATATTAACTCTTGGTGATAGTGCCAGGCATGGCGAGCATATTTGATTAAATTTTTGTAATCATTAAGCAGTAAGTCAATAACCTGTGTCACATTCAATTTAGCAAAATTTAGATGCAGAAGCCGAATCTCTGATAGGATAGTGCATTTTGCAATAAAATGTACTATGTCTTCTTGAACCTGGTCATTGCATAATGAACAAATCACATTTTCTCTAGCCCGAAAAGGTGCACCATTGAGATAAAGGAGGTCCCCTCTGATTTTGAATATCCACCTTAACTCGACCAATGACAAACCTTTAGACCTGTCCTTAGATAGGTTAAACATATTAAAATCATTTTGGTAAAGTTCCTTATAGAATAGAAAGCGCGAGGTTGATCTGACTTGTTCACGAAGTTCTTCACTGAAATTGACACTCAGTTTTGTTATAATTTCCTTAAACTGCAATCATTCAATCATTCAAGTTATTTATAGAAAATGATGAGTCACATGATAGATCCCTACACATGCTATTCCAACGTTCAAACCACAATGCACCACGACTAACGACTTCCAGGGCTACTATTTTGGAAATACGGTAATCAGGATGTTTCAAGAGTTTAAAGATATAATTAAAATGAAGTTTGAAGGTATATAAAAAAAAAAACTGGTCAACTTTAGTCTCTAAATAAATCATAAAATTCAGGGTGGTTTTGGGAAGGGCAAATAACTTTCTAATGAAAAAACGTTGAGTTTTTCAAGCTGTCCTCCAGTACACTGTCTCCTCCAAACTGGGGCATTGCATGCATCCCTCATTCTCAGTAGACTCTTTGGGGCCTGCTATCACTGTACAGACAGAAACTTGACACATCAGTAAACGTAACAGCAATCCAATTGGTGTTCTCTTCTACGAACTCGCTGAACGATATTCTTCTAAGTTGCTGTTGCTGTACGCCGACTCAACGGGGCATACGATGTGAAGCCAACTTCTCAGACATGATTTCGAATCATTTATGTTAATAAAGGCCTTGCCAAAACATCTTGTACTTCACTTAGGATCTGGCAGGCACTAAGGAAAGAGTTCGACCTTACAGCAATGATAATATTTCTGTCCTCCTTTAGCATTGTAATGCTCTGAGATCCTATTGGCACTTCCAGTCTCTCGGAATCCTAAAGCCCGGGAGAACATGCTCTGAGAAACGCCAACTGCCTCTGCGATATCCACTTCCCGGTGACCTCGATGACTCATTCCCACAATAATATTGCGAATGTCTGGTTCTTTCCATGGTTAAAAAGAATACAATTTGATTTGAAAAAAGATGTTTGTTTACAAAATAAGTAATCTTCGTATTTTCTATTCTTAAGTAAATTTGTTATTAAAATGAGGATAACATTTGATTGTTTTTGGTTTGTATTTTCTATTTTGTTTTATCCAGCTAACAATAATATATTGGTTGATTTAGTTGAAATTAAAGTGTGGTGTTTAGTGACTGTTAGTCAATGATTATTCGGAGATTGTGAGATGCGGTCTGGTGTGACGTAGGTTTCAGAAAAACATTTTCTTTACCGTGCCAATGTTTCGATCTTTACAATTAATTAAGGTTTTTAGTTGAGATGAAAAAGTTAATGGCACGAGCGGCATTCGAACCCACGATCTTCGGCAAGAAACGCCGCTGCTCTACCACTTGAGCTATCGAGACCTCGATCCACTTGGACATCAACTTCCTATCTCAACCCCACCTTTTTGAATTTTCCCTCCTTTTTGCCATATTTGAAATGTCGTGTAATCGGATTGGATTCCCGACGACAAATGAAATGGCCACGGAGAGCTTTAGTGAAGTGTACTTCATTTTAATTCATTAAATTCACTAATTTTGTGGTCCGCTTGACCAATTAATACATTACAATTAATTGAGGTTTTTAGTTGACATGAAAAATGGCAAAAAGGAGGGAAAACTCATAAGGTGGGGTTGAGATAGGAAGTTGATGTCCGAGTGGATCGAGTTACGATAGCTCAAGTGGTAGAGCAGCGGCGTATCTAGCTGGAGATCATGGGTTCGAATCCCTCTCGTGCCATTAACTTTTTTTCATCTCAACTAAAAACCTTAATTAATTGACCATATTAATAATTCCAATTAATTATTATTCTTTTTATCTAAGATTTTTCATCTCAACCACTCAACCAAAAACCTTAGATAAAAAGAATAATTAATTGGAATATATATTAATATTCAAGATGTTTTGTTAAAATTTTCAGTTTTACAAATTCTACTCATTTAATTTGGTTTTACTGCAATGCAAATCTGTGCATAGATTTATGTGATTAAGCTTAATCTTGAATAATGATTTCTTTTTTATTATATTACAGCTTATGAAATTTGATACATCTCAAAGGTTGAAAAGTGGTTTTCTTTTAATTCAATAGGATGATTTAAACGATTTATAAATGCATGATGAGAATGTACAAAAAAGGTTTTTATAAATAAATGAACTCTTACCCCCTTTCAATCAAAGCGACATTTCCGTAAACATAGTCCACATTTATGATTTGTGAACAACCATTTGCTGGCTCTACAGGAACCAATTTTATTTTGTTAGATTGCAAGGCAGGAGTCTAGAAGCATAAGTTTTTTTTATTTATTTGTACATGTTTTTCAATGTGTCTTCTTTAAGGCTTACTTACAAAAGGAGCGCCAAAATTTTTGGCCGGACGGGTTCTGTAAGTGTATCTCAAGCTCTCTGGTTCCAATATTTCAAAAAATATATCTTCGCCTATAATTTCAAGGTTACTACCTCCGTTCCATTTAGAGTCGAAATCTTCTAAAAACAAATTAAATATAACTGTTTAATATTATTATATTTTAGATATGTACCTGAAAGTGTAACTATTCAAGGTTTTTCCGTTATCGCTTAATTTTTAAATTTAGAAAATTCGAAGGATGTTTGAGTACAAAATTGATTGAACCTGATCATCCTAACCTGCTCAGAATCTCACCAGTTTTGTCTGTCGGATGTGTTTTATCCTTTTTCAGTGGTTAGACTGTTATTTTGTCGTTTGCTAAAAAACTTATACACAATTAAAGATGAGATGATGTATGGACCAGCTTGTTGAACAACTTGAGTAAAAGGATCTTCAGTGAAGTCACAACACCGGTTGTTGTGAGGTGTTGTGACCTCACTGGAGATCCTTTTACTCATTATACACAATTGATAAAATAACGGATACACCTATCGGTAAAAATAGGGAAATGCTGAAACATGTCTGACAGACATAGGTATCGACAATAAGCAGACCATAGGATGACCTCTGATCATGCATGTTGCACTTTAACAGGAATTAAAAAAATAAAATTATATTATCACATAGTTATTGCCAAGTGTAATTTTGAGGCTATACATCCAAGTTACTGGCTCTTCTCGATTAAGCTTTATTTTTTTCTATTGCTAGATTAATTAATGTACTGTCACACAGTACCCAAGGCTTAGCACTGCCACTAAACCGAGGCTCATGAGACCAGGTCTCATACACAATCTCACCAGTGAGGACCCGGGGTTCGCCTTACAAGGTTCCTGACCCCAAGGTCACTCCTAGCGAGCAAAAACAGGCCTGGACCAGTCTGAGAGTAAGCTGAAGTCAATAGTAGGGTAGTCTAAAGTTTTCAGTTTAGAATGAGTAGTCAAGACTAAGACCCAAAATCAGATTCAGAGTCAGAGTCAGATGCCCTGACACCCATCAATATTGATCAGTGGTGGAGTCTTCCCGAGGAGTTTGTAGGAGAGCCTCTAGCGATCCACCGCCTTCAAGACCGATACCTCCACAACGAGAAGTCTGTATACTTGGAAATAAAACATTGTAAGTCATAGGTGTCACCCCTTAAACTGGAACACTTATTCCATTAAGCTCTCTTTCCTGTACAAAACTACTTTACGTCTTTAGGTTGTTATCCCAGGGGACAAGACAATACGATTAAAATTTCAGGTCAAACAAGTTTCAATTATTTAAGTATATATATATTATACCACCAAGAGATAAGAACAGTCAAAATTAAAATAATAAGTTCAAACAGCTTTATGCACTCTATTAATCAGGAAAATATGTATAAGCGACTTTTCAGTTCTGAGAATTTGTTAATTGGTACATAATGGATTGAGTTTTATAAAATGATGAACCAGTAGCTTCATTGTATCCAATTCTCCTGGTCAACAAATCAATAACACATACAGAAACCCACCTGACAGATAATCGAGGAAACAACCCAACTACAAATTTATTAATAGTTAAATTAACATAATACGGCTGGGGGTTTAGTTAAAAACAATCAGGAGCAAAAATAAAAGAAATCAAATGTTTAAATATAGTTTATAAAATAAATTTTTGCAAGATGTAACAAATGTATCAAAATATTTTTCTTTATAATTCTGAACAGGTATAAAAATATTTAAAAAATCTGAAAATTATTATTTTAAAAAATATGAAGAAGGTACAGTCGACGGCTGGCCTAATGGAACCCTCCTGAATCCGATGGCCGGCTTCTTTGGCTGCTTCTTAATAGGCTTCTGTTCCGTATTTTTCTTCTCCTCTTTTTCTTTAATCTCTCCATTTCCTGTTAGATTGGGCGTAGTGTTTTCACTTTCTTCCGGAATTATAGGGGTTTGGTGTTGGTCGAGGTGTGATATGCTTGGAGTCGGGGGTTGTAACTGGGTCGAACCGACTGAAGCGATTGGAGTCACAGCAGGCGCCCTGGAAGTAAAAGGCACTCGTGGAATTGTCGTTTCCGTACCGAACCTAGAGTAAGGAGTGGACGTGGTCCCTGGGCTTGTACTCAACGGCTTGGACTGTTCTGTCAACCTTCTATTCAACCAATCTATTATTCTCTCGTTGTCTTTAATCTTTTTCTCTTTTGTTTCTATTAAATCTCTTAATTCAGATATAGTCGTTTTCAGAGACAACTCAGTTTCTGTGTTCGATGTTATCTTTTTTTCTAAATTTTTATTCGCTTCTTCAAGCCTCGTGATTGTTTTTAAATGCGATTCTACGACTTTTTCCTGTTCGAGAGCGATTGTAGTCCTCATTTGCATTTTTGAATTTATCACTGCTAACTCTTTCTGCATTTTTGTTATAATTTCATTCGCCTTGACTAACTCATCTGATAAATTTTGCAAAGATAACTGCTTTCTTTGTATATTTTTATCTTTTTCTGTAATAACATCTTCTAAGCGGGTTTTCTGGTCGTTGGCGACGTTGAGAAGTTCTTGCTGTTTTGACATTAGAATAGTTTTGTCTTTCAACTCTTGCTCCAAGACGGCAATTTTTGTTTTTAAAGTATGGATTACTTTCTCACGCTCGTGGTTTTCACTTTCTTGCTTAGTGGCGTGTTTTCTAGTCGAAGAGAGATCATTTCTTATAGTAATGAGTTCTTTCTCGAGTTGTTCCAACCTTCTCGCCTGGTCGGATATCGTCAAATCGGAAGTGCCTCGTTTTTCCAGTAAGATCTGGTTTTCCAACCTCAGCCTGGATAAATCGGCGTCTCGGTCTTTAACCATCGTTTGATACTTCTCTTCGATTTCTGCCTTTTCCCTCTGCGACCTTATCTGCCAGTCGAGTTGACTTTTTCTGAACTTCTCCGTCTCTTCTGTAATCTCCTTGGTCGATTCGGCTTTAAAGGCGATCTTATCCTCTCTCCACTGTTCCTGGACTTGGTGGAGCTTTTCCTCCGTGGACTGGAGTTGCTTCGACTTGTGCTGCAGTTGCGATTCTAAACTACTGATCAGTTTTTCAGCTTTAGAATTGTGATCTTTAAGGTGTTTGATCTTTTTCAACATGAGATTCTTGATGTCGCTGTCGTTCCCGGGCTGGATCTGCAGCGTAAGGTGGCATAGGTGTTTGAAGTTGTTGGCTTCGACAATTTTTAAATAAGTGTGCAGATTGTCTTTCCTTTCTTCTTCTAGGATAAGATGAAATTTGGAATCGTGTCCTTCCTCTTGGCTGCATTGCTCGAGCAATCTTATCACCTGCGATGGGAAATTGTCAAAATCGACCAGCAGGCCTTGCAGGGATTTCAACCTCTGGTAGTCGTCCTCGGTCAAAACGAGGGAGTAGAAGAAAAAAGGGTCCTCGTCGTCCGAGACCTGAACGTTCAAAACTTGCTTCGACACTTTGCTGAAACTCGAAGCGAAATCCACGACAATCCTCAAATCCCTGGATCTTTCCTCGGACGATGTGCTTTTTACGAAAAACCTCTGCACTTTCGAGTATAGAGGATCGACGCAGCCGGAATCCTCGCTGTTGAACATTTTTTTATTTTTATTATTTTTTTTCTACCGAGGACAACTAGCGAGTCTCATAATTGAACACGGCAAACCGTCAAACACAAAGCACACAAAGTCACAAACAATAGAGAATAATTATAACCTAGAGACTTACCGAGCAAGTTTGTGCGACATAAATCAATGAGGATTAATATCTCTAATATAACAAAACGAATCTCCATCAGATCTCCTCCTCGTGACTGAGGTCACACATATTAACAATTAAATAAAACGTAAAGTAAATAACAATTTTCTTTCGCCGGTCAAGGCAGAACTTTTTTTTTACCCCACCTTTTCATTCAATAACGTTATAATTAGCGCCTTGGCAACGCTCTCAACACAAAATACGAATTGATTCGTATTTGTCGTTCCAAAAAAATTTACAACGTTTATTTTTCATTACATAAAGAATTCTTAATCCCACTTCTAGCAATTTTGTTTAAACAGTTGTTTCGCTTTTATCAATTATGACACCGTGGCTTTACTGCCATTCTCTTCTTCCTTACATTTTTATTTTTCATTCCTACATTCACAATACAGAAAAAAATTAAAATTCAACACTGAAAAAAAATATGACATAAATAATTAAAATTCCTTAACTCATGAAAAAGTTAAAATTTCAATTTGTGCATAGTCCTAAAGGGAATCCATTGGTGATATCTAAACAACAGTAATCCATTTAAACAACCAGGAACCAACTTTTCATCAATGGTACTTCAAATTATTAAAATACATTGATATTTGATTTCAATGTTTAGCTTTTCACCAATGGCACTTTAAATAATTAAAGCAAATTGATTTGATTGTTTAAAAGTATACGAAAATAGTCGTTTTTATTTAATTAGTTATGCATGTTGTGTGAGACTTAAAAACGAATTGATTTTATTTTAGCAGAAGCGAGCTAGATTTATTTGTATAATCTATTAAATCCATTTCTGTAAATAATTTCTAAATTTCATCATTTCATGGTTCATGGTTTTGTTATGCATAGGTTTAAATTTGTAAAATATCCACTGATGAGTACAAATCTCTAAATTTTATCTGCACAGGACTGTTCATGGTTTTTTTATGCATAGGTTTAAATTTGTAAAAATGTCCATTGATGAGTACAAATCTCTAAATTTCATCTGCAGAGTATTGTTCACGGTTTTCTTATACATGGGTTTAAATTTGTAAAAATGTTCACTGATGAATACAAAGCCATCAAGGACAATAATTTATAGTTCTTCCTTACTTGGCATATTTTTCTTTCTAGCTATTCACCAATGGTACTTTAAAAAATTAAAACAAATTGATTTGATTTTCTAAAAGTATAATAAAAAAGTAGTTTTTATTTTGCAAGTTATGCATGTTGTATGAGCTATAAAAATTGTCATTTCTGTAAATAATCTCTAAATTTCATCTGCAGAGGATTGTTCATGGTTTTCTTATACGAAGGTTCAAATTTGTGAAAAATATCCACCGATGAGTACAAATCTCTAAATTTCATCTGCAGAGGATTGTTTACGGTTTTCTTATATGTAGGTTCAAATTTGTGAAAAATGTCCACCGATGTGTACAAATCCATCAAGGACGACAATTTATAGTTCTTCCTTACTTGGCATATTTTTCTTTCTAGCTTTTCACCAATGGTGCATTAAATAATTAAAACAAATTGATTTTATAGTCTAAAAGTATAATAAAATAGTAGATTTTATTTAGCAAGTTGTGCATGTTGTGTAAGCCATTAAAAATTTTACTTTCTGTAAATAATCTCTAAGATTCATCTGCACAGGATTTTTTTAAAATTTATTTATTTATTTTTATATACAGAATTTGGTAATAGACATTTTTTAATGTTTTATTTGTACAACTAAACCTATTTTGGTATGCAAAGCATGAATAAACCTAAATACCTTAAAATTTATGGGCGATGCATTAATTTTATTTATCAGGTAATTTTTACAATTTAAAAACAGGAGATATCGCTAAAACCATTGAAATATTCAGGAGCAATGTTTCCACACTGGTATTTTAAATAATAGAAAATAATTGATTTTACAACATTAAAGGTTGAAAAAAGTAGATTTATTTATTTTTAATTATTCTCGCATTGATTTTTTTACAATTCTCTTATATAAATGATGCAACAAATTACGGAATGAATAAACTATTGTTTTAATTTGAAAAGACAAAGTATTACTTTTTCTAAAATACTAAAACAATGAAGTGTAATCATTTATAAGGAAAATTACTTTTAGAAGATAAACTACTAACTTGTAATTTGGTCATTACCAAGAATTTTGGTTTCCCTGCAAAATACACACGGGAGATGCCCGAATGCCGAAACACGTCTGACAGACCAATTCCGTGAGAACAAGCAGACCTGGATGATTGGTAATGACAAAATTGCAGGTTCATCACCCGCAAGTTTCTACTTTTTAGGACTACTTTCAATATATATTGTGATTTAAACATCTAATATTTACCATACCAATACCAATCAATTGCCAAAGGTTGGTGGATTTAATAATCACAATTGTCAGAGTAAGTAATGCAATGCCTGTCATACTGGAGGGCTTAATGTTCAACTACCGACTTATCTGCATGAAATATCCAGTCCATGTTAAAATGGACTAGGGATTATGAGATGCAATTTTTTCATATTAGCCATGGACTATGTCTGGATTCAAACCAAGAACCACTAGTATGGCAAATACTACGTTAACCACTTACCACCCAGTCCCCCAATTCTCAGTGTATATTCATTAGACAATTTTAGTTCTAATCACATATTTGCAGTTAAAGAGGTAATAAAAATTAGTGAGTTAAAAAATAATGAACTCATTTGACTAAATTACATTTCATCAAGAGGTTTACATATAAAAAGGAAAAAATACTGGTGTGTACCCATGGTCATCCAAAAGTTGTACCAAAATGGGTGCTGCAACAGTTTAGGCACTGGCACGGAGCTTATTACTGTGAGGAAAAGGTCCTGAGTTCAAATCCAGTAGCCCTACATTCGAACCCGACATATTTACAAATGTTTTTTGTTTTTTTTCAAAAACACCGGCACCCCGAGGGTTGATAAAAAAACAAAAAAACAACAACCAAAATGTGGTACAATCCATACGCTTGTCACCAATAATGACAGATTAACAAAAGACATAATAGGCAAGTTAATAGATCAAATTTTGGAAATAGTGTTAAGTCCAACACACAGTCAAAAATGAATTTTTTAACATTAAACTCAAAATAGCAATTTAAAAATAAACTTCTATTTTCTGACAATAAGTTACCCATTAAAAAAAAATATTTTTAAGTCTTCATAAATAAATCAATTCCTTCTAAAATCTTCAAAGGTTTCTCGCTAAGAGCGAAATTTTTCCATTGGGTCTGCATGGAGATGGACCTGCAGTTTCGTCATTTTTGTCTGCCTATTCTCTAAGGTTCTAGAAATATGTTTGAATGAACAAACTAGCAAGAATAGGGATACCGGAATGATCAGAAATTACCGAACTACATACGTTTTTACACATACATGATGTTCACACTTTAACCAATAAGTTTGAATAACGACGAAGAGCGTGAAATTTTGGATATACTCTGTATCACGGATGGTCCTTCCAGAAGCACATTATCATTAAACATGTTCTACATAAATAAACTTTAGACTTAAGTTTTTTAATACTTTTTCGTCAAACTTTACTTGGCTTTTTAAAACACTATAATAATTGGGATATTAATCAGGTTAGGTGAAATTTCAAACCAATTTTTTAAATTAGAGATTAGCTTGTAATTTATTTATTTAATCAAAAATAAATTAATTTAGGGTCCAAAGAAGAAGGTGGGAAAGGCTAGCAAGGGGGGAAGAGGATCTGGCGGGATCATCGATGGCGTTCCTATGACGGAAATGCCGAGAGAACATCTCGAGAAGTACACACTTAGGATCAGGGATGAACTCGAACGTGAACGAGAGGAGAGAAACTTTTTTCAGCTGGAACGAGATAAAATCAGGACATTTTGGGAGATTACAAGACAGCAGCAAGAAGAAAACAAAGCTGAACTGAGGTTATCGGATTGGCAATAAAAAGTTTTCTTAATGTTGATTTCTTATTGAATTGTTTTGTTTTTAGAAATAAAGACCGTGCTTTGGAAGAAGCAGAAGAAAAACATCAGACGGAATTGAAAGAATTTAATGAAAAAGTTAAACATCTTATGTACGAACATCAATGCCATCTCACTGAAGTGAAAGTAATGAAATTTTTATTTTTTGTTTAACACTTGCAAGTAAATAAGTAAATGAAACAGTTCAATTTAGGCTGAAAGCATGGTTTCTCTTAGAATGGCACAAGAGGAATACCAGAAACAAGAAGCTCGTCTCAATCAAGAAAAGGAAGAACTGCAGAAAAAAATTGTTGATGAGCAGTTAACCCACGAGGAGAAAATAAGAGAGATTTATCTTGTAATTAGAAACAAACAAACATTAATTTCCTCATAAAAAAACTCTCGATTTGCAGAAACACACGGAAGAGGTGTATGGAATCAGAGAAGAATTTATGGAGAAAATAAAAGAGATGGCGATAAAAGCAGAAGAGAGAGTCGAAAAAATCAGGGAGCATTTTTCTCTCAAAAATAAAATGGAATTGGCCGAGACTGAAGAAAGAAAGAATACAATTATCGACAAACTCAACACAAGCCATAAAGTCGCACTTTTAGAACTGAAAACATACTACACAGGAGTAATCGACAACAACTTAGCAGTAATAACTGCGATGAAGGTTGGTTTTCTACTCAAACGAGTGCATGAATCTTATTTACAAGAATATATTTTAATGGTTTAAAATTGTTTGTTTTAAAGGAAGAAATGGGAGATGTAATGAAACAAAATGAGGGGTTGAAGGAAAGTATGACCAAAGTGCTAGATGAAAATAAGAAGCTTGCTAAACCTCTTGAAGAAGCTAAAGCGAGAGTTGCAGAACTGGAAAAACAGCTAATTGACAATAAAAAAGACAAAATCTCTTTGAAGGTATATAATTTGTATTCATATAAATTGTTGTCATTAATTTTTAATATTTTTCTTATTTTAGAATGTTCATAAAAGATATGCTAAAATTTGTAAAGACCTGGAAGATGTGACTTTACAAAGGGATTCTTATGAGATGCAAATTGAAAAGGTGAAATATGCCCTACTCTAAATTATTTCTTTTGAAAATTCCTGAATTTTTTTCATTTTTAAAATTGGCAGGTCGAAGAACAGCTAGAAGAGATGACTAAAAAATATACAACGGCGCTATCAGAAATCCAAAAGAAAAATGGTATTCAGGTGAACATATTCGAGAAAAAGATCACGGACCTTGAAGATGAACTTGAAAAGAAGGAGATCTCCATGGCTCAGCTCATAGCAGAAGCTAACATCGAACCAAGCGCTGTTAACAATGCCAATAAAAAAATCCAGGTATAAAATTTTTAAAAATAAGTTTTATTATAATTGCACTGATATTAATAAATTTTAAAGGCAATAATGGCAAAACGAGCGAAAAAAATTGAAATGCTCCAACTTGAGATTAACAGGGTGGCCAAAGCGCACAACGATTTGATTTTGGATTTCAAGAACAAGGCGGCAATATTCGATATACCTGAAGAAGCAATCGCTTACGACTTTTACAGATTAAATCTTAATCAATTTGATTCTTAAAATTTAATCTAATGTGCAATTTGTGTTGGGTTGTTCACTGAGCTTTTTTATCTCTTAAATATCTTTCTCACGGGTGAAATAATAAACCATAAATTAATCTTACAAATAATTTTTAAAATATATTTTTTGAAATTATGAGTAATTATAAACCTTTTATTCATTAATTGACAAATTCCAAATAAATTGTAAGGTAAAATAATTGTTTTTAATAATTTTAAAAAATAGATAGAGAGAGAAGTTTTAAATTGGAAATTATATATAAATTAGATGAGTTTCAAAAGACCAGTGCAAATTTGAAGGGCCAAGTGATCATATGCGATAAAAATACAGACTGATCACCTTGCAGATTTCATTGCATGGTTTCACGATGATTTCAATATTGACATGATCAGTATATGCTTTACCATTCAGTATTTTAATGATTATTAGCTTTTGACTGACAATTGATCAGCCAAGGTTTTTCCCACGTAAAATTGATGAATGTTCATTTTTTTTACCACTGTTTGAAGGTGTGGATAAAAATTCTGCACAAAGATGGCAATGTAGTTGAAATAAGTTGATAGAAAATTATAAATTTCAAAAAATAAAAGCAAAAACTTTGTAATAATTATTTTACTGGTTTGGTTTTATTGTTAGAACAAATACATATAGTCAGTTCCGTATTTTTGTATATTTTATATGTCAGCAATGATTTTAACATTAACGTGGTTTGTGTAGTTTATGTAATGCTTTCAGTGGTTTAATGTCACAAAAAGTCTAACTTATTTATTATACGATACAAACTTGTGTGTTTAATTTGGACCTTTTTCCTTCCTTGATTTTTGAACAATTTGCTTTTAATTTATTTATTTATATATATATATTTTTTTAGCTGTTGATTAGATGCAGGTAGTTAATTTTTCTAGTATGCCTAGTGTAATTAATAATTTAATATTAATTTGAAGAAAAAAAAAGCTCAATTTGAAATTAAAAAGTATTAGTTCGATGCAATAAAGCATTAATCTGGAATTTAAAAGGCTGAATTTGAAGTGAAAAAGTCAATTGTAAATGAAAAAGGGTTAATTTGAAGTTGAATGCCAATTGGAAATTAAAAAAAAAAATTGATGCAAATAAAGAGTTAATTTGAAATTAAAAAGGATTAATTTAAATCAATGAAGGGTTAATTTTATGCATAAAAGTGTTACTTTCATGCAATAAAGGGTTAATTTGGAATTAAAAAAGGTTAATTTAAATTTCAAAAGAGTTAATTTGTATTTAAAAAAATCATTTTGAAATTAAAAAGGATTAGTTTGAAGCAATAAAGGGTTAATTTGAAATTAAAAAGGAATTATTTGAAATTAGGATTAATTTAAATCAATAAAGGGTTAATTCAATGCATTAAAGTGTTAATTTCATGCAATAAAAGGGTTAATTTGGAATTAAAAAAGGTTAATTTGAATTTCAAAAGAGTTAATTTGTATTAAAAAAGTTAATTTTGAATTTCAAAAGAGTTAATTTGTAGTAAAAAAAGGTAATTTTGAAATTAAAAAGGATTTGTTTAAGGAAATAAAGGGTTTATTTGAAATTAGGAAGAGTTAATTGGAAAAGGGTGAATTTGATGATGAGAAAGTACATGGTGTGATCAACGACAGAATAATTTAAACAAGAATTATATTTATTTATAATTATTATTGTTTGGAATGTTTTTTATTTATTTTTTTAAAATTAGGACGATCAATTTATTCAGATTTTTTTTTATGGAAGTGGTAAAATGTAGGACTGTTTCATCTAGAATGGCAAATTGAAATCAAAATTCATCCAAATTTTCTATTTCCATTGTTAGAAGCCGATTGGCAATGGAATCAGCATTTTTTGAAACGCCTCCAGCTCAAGGGAGAGGAGATGGAGATTGAGAAATAAATACGGGGAGGGCAGTTGAATTTCGGCATAAGGCAAAAGTAAAAAAGTTTGCTGGTTATTGGTAGGAGAGGGTTTCGTTTTAGTGGCTGTATAATAATTGTATGAGTTTAGGTGAAACCAAGACCCAGCGGAATGCTACGTGTATCTGAGATTGCCCTAAGGTTATGAGATGAGGCCGCTTCCAGGTGTCGGTACAACATATATAAATCCCAAAAAGTTTCCAATATCAGCCTTTTTACGACGGAGCCACATGTGTAAGAATTAACCTGGCCGAGCTACCCCCTCATTCCGCTCCCTCATGTCTGATCTTTCCTTTTTCCACCCTCCGACCCCCGTTTACGATTATAGTTCCAGATAAAACGGTCGTGGTAGAAGGTGAGTGGTGTAATATGAGGCCTTTGATGTAGAGCAGACCACTTCGTTTTATTTCTACATTTCATACGATATCTCTGCTTCAACGATCAAAATGTGATAACTTCAATTTCGAATTGTTTTTAATATATATTTAAACTTGTGTACATTAACAATTGTAGCTAAAATATCGAAACAATAAACTGTTTAATTGCGCACTTCTGGGTATTTTCATCGTTAATGTATTATATCAAAATCGATCTTTATAAGGTCCGCCTGGCCTTGCTGCCTCATTTCTTGTGATTTGAGTAAAATAAACATAACGACCAAATCGAAAATTTTAATACCAAGACGAAGTCAAATGTTATTCAAGTAATCTGGCAAAAATGAAAAAACAGTATTATACATGGTGACTGGCGATAAGTGTCGAAAATTTCAGATAAGCAACAAAAAATTTCCTATAAACCCATGTCCAAATCTCGACGGTAAAGAAATAATTTCAGGTTTTGGTTTTTTTTNCAATTAATTAAGGTTTTTAGTTGAGATAAAAAAGTCAATGTCACGAGCGGGATTCGAACCCACGATCTGCGGCTAGATACGCCGCTGCTCTACCACTTGAATCTTGAACTATCGTGACCTCGATCCCCTCGGACACTAACCTCCCATCACACCCCCACCTTTTGAATTTTCCCTCCTTTTTGCCATTTTTCAAATGTGTGTAATCTATATAGGTTGGGTCGAGATGGGAAGTTGGTGTCCGAGTGGATCGAGGTCACGATAGCTCAAGCGGTAGAGCAGCGGCGTATCTAGCCAAAGATCGTGGATTCGCATCCCGCTCGTGACACTGACTTTTTTATCTCAACTAAAAACCTGAATTAATAGAAATATATTAATTGGTCAAGCGGACCACGAAACCAGTGAATTTAAAAAGTTTGCTTTATGTTATCAGCTGACAACTTCCTCAGGTTGGTGATTTACATTATGTCATTGTTTTCTAATGCACATTTTGCTGATATGCATTTCATTAGTTGCTGCAACGGTAATGCTACTGCTGCAAGGGGAGAATACCAAACTCGTTTTCCACATTGAGATGTTCCAGCAGATCGCACCTTCTAACGACTTCATCAGAGGCTGAGGGAAACTGGTTCTTTCACTCGAAGAACGAGGTGATTGATGTAGATGAGGAAAAAATCAACTCACTGCTGGTGGTCATTTCGTTCCAAACTTTGCACCCTCGTAAAATGGTAAGGGTACAATCCTTTCCGACGGAAGGTATCCCAACTTCTTCATTGTAGAACACCACAGTACTGGTTTCGGGTTCACGATTAACAGAATGCAAAATTTCCTCATCTACATCAATTGTCTTTCCTCGTTCTTTGGTGGGTATACCGCTCGAAGCTAATTGAACGGAAAACTTTTGAGGGAATTTGAAAAGCACCAGGAGTTTGTAGTTATTAACAGTTGCCAATCCAACTTTTTTTTTTTTAAATTCCAAATTTCAACATTTTTGTTTTTTCTGAATTTTTCGTGTAGAATTTTTCATCAATTGTGCAACGTAAATAGGTTTCCTTACAGCAAATTTAGCGTTCTTCCAGATTTTTGTACAATCAGCAATTCTGAAGTTTATAAGCGATTTAGCGTACATAAGTCGAAAAATTAAGAAAAACCCAAAATTTGAAATTACTTCTTTACCGTTGGGATTTGAACAGGGGTTTATAGGAAGTTTTTTGTTGCATATGGTGGTAAAAATTTTCCTGAAAATTTCGACACTTATCGCCAGTGACCCTGCATATGAACAGGAATAAAATGGTGAAATATATCAAAGTATAATGCAACGTATATAATACAATATATAATATGTTAAAAAATATTATATTTTATTTAAATGATATTGAATACGATTATTGAGATCGTGAGATGCGGCCTGGTATGGCGTAGGTTTTAGAAAAACATTTTCTTTATCGTGCCAACGTTTCGATCTTTATTGAGATCATCTTCAGTGTCTGGGACTTATAAACATTGTTTAAATTGTACGACTTTATTTTTTATTTATTTTATTTTTTTTTTATTTTACGAGGGTTCGCAACAGTAGAGGTTATATCAACCCTCGGGGTGCCGGTGTTTTTGAAAAAAAGCCCATTTATAAGTATGTCGGGTTCGAATGCAGGGCCGCTGGATTCGAACCCAGGAACTTTACCTTACAGTGATGAGCGCCGTGTCAACGCCTAAACCGTTGCGGCCACCGACGCCCCTACGATTTTATTATTACACTTATACTCTGATTGAGTCTAAAATTTCTAGCATTGTATAAATTCATTTTTTCACATCCTACATGTATAATTTAAACAATGTTTATAAATTCCAGGCCCTGAACATGATCTCAATAAAGATCAAAGATATTGAATACTTTATATCAACTTGGCATTTTTTTTGCACAGTCTGGTTCTATATGGCATTGGATTCTATATGGTGTTTCACAAGGTGGTGTAACAAGTCCCTCGATATTTTTACACTCGCGATTAATTAATATTAATAATAAGGTTTTCTGTGTGCTATAAAGGAACATAAAGAAGAACAATTACAAACAATCTTTATACATTGTAGCATGTGATAATAAATTAATATTTTAAAGCTTTCTCAAGGGAAGAGATAAATTTTTTAAATAGTTGACTTGAAGGAGACTAGTGTCACTCTACTCTTTCCTGCCCTCGCTATAATTTTTTATATATGTAGTCATGTTTCTTTTGCGTAAGTTTGTGTGTTTGTGTGTGTGTGTGTTTGTCGGTGTCGGCTCTCTCTCTCTCTCTCTCTCTCTCTCTCTCTCTC